GAGCGCCTCAGCTGCCGTTCCTCTTTCTCTGGTTTGCCCCGCTGCCCAACAGGGATGTGAGAGATGGTGAGACAGTGTCTGCCGAGTCACATCCACCTTCTGCTTTTAGCTAACGGGCTGTTGACGGTAGGCAAATGGCTTCCTCTCGTGCTCTTTCCTCTTCTGGCACTCGTCAGTCTTTTCTCCTTAGAGTGGCAGCTTTTGGGGTGAGGTGGGTGCAGCCTCGCGAGGACCACGGAGCTGCTGGGTGCCTCCGATGCCCCAACTACTCGGAGCATGGGGATCCGCTCGGGAATCCTCCTCTTCATTACAAGGCCAGTGGTAATTGTTCATCCCCTATTTCGCACAATAAACACTCAGATCTGTTTTCTTCTCCTTTAAGTAGGTCAGAAGTTGCTCAGCTTAGCGTGCACTTTGCTGTGGGTATGTCAATCACTCCTTCAACTCACTGCCTCTGAGTGTCCTTCCTTAAGAAAGGATGCCTTCCATTTTTAATTAAAAACAAAAAAGAAGCTTAAAAGCCTCTAAGGAGACAGGATCCAGTCAGATCCACAACACTAATGTGAACAGACAGCACTGCAGGCTGGGAACAAGAGGGATGTGCACAGCATTAAAGCTTCTCGTGGGTTCGTATCGGCTGCTGCTGCCCCACAGGAACTGGACAGTCCCCTCTTCCCAGTTCCCAATCCCATCCTCTCCTCCCAGTTCCCAGCCCCACGCACTTGCTGCCTTTGGCTGGAGATGTCCCCAAAACAGCGAGGCCCCAACGTGACATACACTCTGGATCCCAACTGGTGTCTGCTGTCAGACCAGTCCCTTCCAGTCACGCCACGTTTCCAAGGATTACACCGGGAAGGTGACAATTAACTTTTAATGAGACACTTTGTGTTGGCACAGACAGGCAGCACATCAGAGCTCAGGCATCTGCGGGGGATTGCCATCGGCCACAGACACCTCCCAGTACGAACTGGTTCTGCAAGGACCCTCTGTGGTGGCAGGGACATGTGGGACGCTCAGGGAGGACCCCCGGGCGCTGTTAGAGACTGAGTGTTTGGAGGAGGCTTTTTTGGGGCTCTGCAGCCTGGCCATTGCCAAGCCCCAGCCCAGTTTACTAAGCCCATTTACTACCCATCACTTTTAAAGCTTAAATACACACGGAGTGACAGAGTAAATTAACACGTTGGCTCCGTGGAGCTGTGACTGCCCAGCTGGTAAAGCTGCCAGTGAAGATGACCCAAAATTACACTTAATGCCAGGGAGTCGCGCCTCGCCGAGCTGGAGCAGAGGCGATGGCTTTATTTATGTTTGATGGAGCAGCCCATATATCTGTGCTGCTGAAACTGGGCACCAGTAACCCCAGTTAGCTCTGGTTTTCCTTAACTGCTGCTTCTATGCATCTGTCCCAGGCTGTCGTGTTGTTTCAAGCCCTCTTTGGGGTCCAAAACATTTGCAGCATCTTTTAAAATTATTTTGTGGGCTGGATTTTTCCACTGGACTTGCTCTTTCCTGAAGAAGGGAGCCAGGGTAGAGCCACTTGGCTGTTTGCTCGTCTGTGGGGTTTATTTCTTTCTCAAAGGGAGCTTTCTGTCAAGAGGCAGAGTGTGGTGGGGAGGAAGAGGAAGGCTTTGAAATGCCAGTATCTGGAGGGATACGGTTTTCATCCTACTGCGGGCGACTGTTTTGAGTGCAAGGATGGCATATGTTTGATGTGTTATAAATAGGGCTGTCTGTTATGGGAAAAAAGCAAGTTTTTAAAGGGAAAATAAAAGAGTTTTTGTGTTTCTCTTGGTGTGTTTTGCTTGTTTGAGGCTGAGGGAGTTAGGGATAATTTCCTATTTTAAAGTATCTAAAGGCTGAAGAGCAGAATATTAGAATTGGGTATGGAAAGCTGCTCATGAGCAGAAGATGGCACTGAGTGATGGCTCCCGTATCTATGGGTTGGGCAGCTCCCATATCCATGGGTTGGGTTGATGCTCTTTCAAATGAAGCTGTAGAAACTTTAAAGCACAGTTGGGAGCAGCCCATCAGTAGTGAGAAGTGGCCGTGTCGCATCCCTCTGGATTATCTCTCCTGCCATGAAGCGGGACGGATGTCGTGCTCCTGGGGTGGGAGCCTTGCACCAGCCTTGAATTAAATGCACCTCCCCACTCTCTGATCTCAGGGCAGAGCAAGCGAAGGCGTATTTTAACTGCCAGTATCCTTTTAATTAAAGATGGATGGGAAGCAAGGGGCTCGTTCCTGGCTTCCCTGCTGGAGTTTGCATGCACCGGCTGCTTTGGCCGCCTTCCCCGCCCTGTGGCATGGTTTGGTTGGGATGCCAGGTAAACAGCCATCCCAATTTGAAGCAGTTTTTATCTCGCTGGGCCGTGACGCCCAATTATTATAGTGCCTTGTGCTAATATTTGCTTTAGGAAGCATTTGGGTTCGGCCACTGTGGCGTGCAGCTGAGGGCTTCTGCTCTGTCACTGCGCCTTGCTTCAGCTTTAACCTTTTATTTTGTGTCCCATCCTGGCAGGGCTGGGAGGTTAAGGAAACCAGAGAGCATTGACTTGTTCTCACCTTTCATGCCAGGCCAGCTGATGCACTTCAGTGTATGCCTGCAGGAGAGTATCTGGGCCACTGAATTTGGTTGATTTGTTTGTCTTGCCTTGCACCGTCCCTTCCCTGCGTTTGCATCTGTCTTGGTTGCAGCATTTGCCAGAAGTTAGGTGCCCAACAAGGGGAAGAAGAACACATCCCAAGTCTTTGGTGCTCTAGAAATAGAAGAGCAGAAGAATTATCACCACATCCTCAAAAAAGCCCCCGAAATGCTCCCCGGAGGAAGCTGTGCTGGGATGTGCACCGGCAGCATTTCCCTGACCACCTTACGGTTCACTTTGCTGCAGGCAACACATGAATGCTTCCTTCCTCTCGCATCCTGCAGGCAAAGGGCAAGCTTCCTGGTGGACTTAATGCTTCCCCGAGGAAGTCGGCCACCTTCCCGCCATCCTTCGCAGGCTTTTCACCGGCAGCGCCATGAGATGTGCGATGTGGCATCCAGAAACTTGGCTCTGCGTTGCGAAGCTCTAGGTTAAACAAGGAGCTGGTGAAGGCTCCTCCTGGCGCACGTCTCAGCTATCACCATGGGGGAATCTGCCTTAGTTTGTTCTCCCTGCCTGACAGATTTGGGAGTGTGGGGATAGGGATGGAGCCACAGCGATGGCACGCAGCCCCTCCTTTCCTCACGTGATGAAGCCTCCCAGTTTAATTAGAGCCAGCAGGGAGAGAACCTCAATCTTATTATTCCTTCGCAGCAGGGCACCAGTAGCAGTTCTTGGACGTCAAAAGGAGAATTAAATCAGTCTGCGAGCGAGTTTGTGTGGTTTTTTCCCCTTCCTTCACGTCTCTCGGCGCTTTGGGAGGGTGTTAAGCCTCCAAAATCACTGGTGATCAATGCCTTTGGCATGGCATGCGGTCCCTGGTTACAGCAGAACTCCCAACTGTTTTGGGGTTGCAGACATCTCCCCACCGAGGTGCAAGGAGTTCATAAGCCGTGGATGTGCTCTGAGCAATGGTACCTGCTCAGCACCAGAGCAAGGCTCTTGACACACGGAAGGTCTTTGAATATGCACATTCTTTTAATTCTCCTACCTATTTTGGGGTCTGGAAATGGGATTTTGCTGAAACACTAAAGATCTTAATAATAACAAGCATTTCTTCTGCATGTCCCATTTGGTAACTTGATTTTGGGGGCAGGTGGGTGCGAGCACGCAGGGCAGAATGGCTGATGCGGTGTCTCCCAAGTGATTTTGAAACTGGATGGTTACCTAAAGGCTTATTCCCCCCCCCTTCCCATCTCTTCCTCAAAAAAGTAAGGAACCGTTTTGAATCCCTGTGGGAGCAGGAGTTGCTCCAGAGGAAGAAGGAGTTGATAAAATCACGTATTTGATGTTGAAGTAAACAAACCTGTATTGTTCGCCCAGAACTGGAGTTTTGACTACAAACAGGAGAAGTCCTGGCGATGCCCGCGGCAGGCGTCAAGCGCTTGGGAGCCAGTGCCTGTTTCCTAGACCACTTTTGATGTCTGTGTCGCCGATTTGCTGCCTGTATGGACCAGTTTGGGGCAAGATAATAATTAATTTTAGCCAGTCCATGTGTCCTGCGTGCCCAAGCGCTGCCACTTGCTTTGCCACTCCAGTGTGGGGCTGGGAAGGAGACGTTCGTCTCCATTTGGGCTGCAGGGAAGGACATTTTTGGCTGGATTAATAAGGCACTTATTGCCTTTCAGCTTGGGCAGTTGAATGGTGAGGTTTAGGGAGCGGAGGTCTGTTCTTAGCCCAAGCCATATTTAGAAGAAAGCTGATAAGCCCTCGCACAAACAGCCAAAAGCAGCCCTGTCAAACATCTCACCTTTTTGCCGCTTTTAGAACAGGCAGCAGAGACACTTTGATAAATGCATTTGTAAACTTAACCGTCACTTCTTTATCCTCTGCTTGTAAGGAATTCAAATGCCCCAGATCCCGCACTCCCCCAGCATTTCCCCTAGGAGGGATGGTTTAGGGTTTTGGGAGGTCTCTGCTCTCTCCAGGCTCTGTTCGGTGCTGGCTGCTGTGAGCAGAGCATGTTCGTTCCCTGTTTCCTTGCATTTTGCCGTGTGTGAAACCGAAGCCTTGGCTCAAAATGGAGTTGAGAGACAATTCTGCTGCTGGCTTTTCCCAGCGAGCGTTGCAGTTGGAGCCGTGTGGTGTGATTTAAGGAGCTGCGTGGCTTCGGTTGGGTGAGGAATATCCTGATACGACCCTGCTCTGGGAAGGCAAGAGATGCTTGAATTTTCAGCCAGGCAACGTTAGCAAAGAGCTACATCTTTTGGTGTGATTTGGGCTGTTCCTGCCACCTCCTTTCTCTTGCAGATGCTGTCTGGACCATTCCACTTCCCTTTGTGTCCCAGGAACTTACTACATGAGCTGTAAGCAGTTACTGCCATGCCTGATTCCTCCTCCCTTGTTATTTTTCTGCAGCTGGTCAGCGAGAAGGTTGGAGGGGCTGAAGGGACCAAGCTAGATGATGACTTCAAGGAAATGGAAAAGGTGAGCAGGGAACAAGAGAAATCTCTAAAATCACCCAGATAACTCCTCTGTGACCTTGCCTTGATCCTCACTGCTGCTGGATCATCTTTTCTTTACCCCAGAAAGTGGACCTGACCAGCAAGGCGGTTACAGAAGTGCTGACCAGAACAATAGAGTACCTCCAGCCGAACCCAGGTGAGTACCTGGCTCCTGTCCCCTTCCCTCTGCCGCCCGCTTCTCCAGGGAAAGAGGCAGAGGGGGCAGAGACACCAGAGAGAACCTTTTTGGCTGTGAGATATTGGTCACCAGCCCATGTTCGAGATCAGGCCACGCAGGTGAAGATCCAGATACCCCTCATGCCCTGTGCTGTGTTCCTGGGCTCTAAGACGCTGCTGTTGCTATTGGACAGCAAAAGAACAGACACATAATTCGCCTTGGACCTAGAGAGGCCCTGAAGGGGACCCATTTTTGGGGCAAGTCCAGAAAAAGTGACGTCTCTGGACTGGGAAGGGGTGGTTGACTTTGTAGGCATCGCCTCTGGAGCCTGCTGTCCTGCGTGCTTCCAGCCAGCTCTTTCAGAGAGCGCTCCAGGGATGACGGGCGGGCTGGGGAAACTCCTTTGGCCTTCACTGGTGAGCTGTGGGGAGCTATTTTTGCTTGGTGTCTTGGAAAAGCAACTTCTCTTGTCATAGCAAGTGATATTTCTGGTAGATGAAGACAATAGGGCTTCTTGGCTTTGGGTGTAGCTTGCAAAAAAAAGAAGAAAAAGTTGGCAGTGGCCAGCAGCTGCTGGCAAGTCCGAGTAATTGCAAACACGGCTGTGGCTGTTTCTGTGCCAGCTTCCAGAGCCAAGCTAACCATGCTCAACACCATGTCGAAGATCCGTGGGCAGGTGAAGAACCCCGGCTACCCACAGTCAGAAGGGCTGCTGGGGGAGAGCATGATCCGCTACGGCAAGGAGCTGGGCGAGGACTCCAACTTTGGTGAGTGTCCCATTGGGCCAACTCCCCCAAGGAGCGTACGGACAGGATGGTGAAGGCTGGTGCCAAATTTTTGAGCTGTTATTCTAAGTTCTGGAAGCGCTGTGTGTCTGTTTGTGTCACCCAACAGTGCTGGGGGCTCTTAAAAGAGGTTTGAAGGTGTCCACACAAGGCAAGCAGATCCCAAGCGTCCTGGATCCCAATCCATGGCATTATGTGCAAAACCACCTCTTCATGCTTTCTTAATGAACACAGAGATAAATTTACATGTAGGAAAAAATGCTTCCTCACTTCTAAACTGAACAGTGGTGACATGGAAGTTAGATTGAGCGAGATGTGGAGTTTTATGCTAGTTTCCAGTTAGAGCTCTGCTATAGGGAGGCTGTAGCTAAGAAATCTTTTTGTGTGGCGATTTCTCACAACCCTCTTTGACTTTCAGGGAGGAGGAGGGGGGTGAAGCCTTTGGGTGGCAGCAATTTTAATCCACTGAAACATCAGCCTGCGCATGTGACAGAGCTGGTACGGCGCACAGCTGTCTGATGGCTTCCAGCACAGGGAGGAGCCTTCTCGCCTCAGGAAAATTAAAATCTCTGGCTACTTCATGGGAGTGATGAAGGCGTCTCGAGAGTGGCTCTGACCAGCTCATCCCTCTTGACTTGCAGGAACTGGAGAGCAAGGGGGAAGGAAGTTTTTAAAAGAACAAACCAAATCTGGTTTCCCTCAATAGCTTCTGTTTAAAGAAACACTTAACTTGATGAATTTCTGTATTAGTACTGCGTCCCTGCCTAGGACAGGTTATCTAGAGTTACCACAATTGAAATAACTGGTTTTGTATATTTATTTTTCCAGCTGGACAGCAGAGTGATGTTTTCACTTTACCCTCCATTTGGCTTGTATATTCTCCTGTGCTAATGTAGTGCTGAAACGGTTGGTTTGCCAAAGCTGTGCAGGAATAATTTAATCTATAAATGGTTTCCTCTGGAATAAAAAGCCAAGGCTAAAAATGCTTTGCTGCAAGTTGGTCTGGCTTAGCTGTCATCATGACAGGAGGCTTAGAAAAGCATGAAACGAAATAGTTTTCAATAAGCAATTTTGAGCTCTCCGATTCAGAGGAGAGGAGGAGGGCTAAGGTTGTCCCAATAGACGTTGGTGTCTAAAATTAATAAAAGGCTGCAGCTTTGCTGCCAGCATCTGGGGAAACTTGAAAAGTTGGCCAGAGCACTCTGGGCTTAAAATTGTCTGAATAAAAGGATGGCCAGGCTGGGTCAGACCAACACGCCTCTGCTCCGGGCTGTCCTTGCCAGCAGTGGCCAAGGAGCAGAGCAAGGTTAAAGCACTGCACAGCCAATTAGCAGCTCAGCAACTCCCTGAGCTAGCGGGAGTTTAAAAATACTGCTTTTTAAAATACTTTTATCTTTTTCCTTTGTGTTCCTGCTAGAGATTGTTCCTGTTTTTCAGAGGAAAAATGCAAAGTGTGTTAAAGTGCAGCACCAGTACCAAGAGGCAATCGCCTGCTCTCACACCGGGCACTGCTTGCTCCATGCCATGCGTGGGGATTTGCTCCCATAGTAATTAGGGGGTGTTGGACGGGGGATGGAGCTCACACACACTGGGGTCTGTGGCAGAATGGCTCTGCATGCAGCCCCACAGACTTGGGCTCTGTTTTTAACTGTCTGGCCCATTCTCCCTTTCTCTCCCCTTCCTCCTCTCACTCCAAGGCGATGCACTTCTTGACGCTGGCGAATCGATGAAGCGGTTGGCTGAGGTGAAGGATTCGCTGGATATTGAAGTCAAACAGAATTTTATTGATCCCCTCCAGAATCTGTGTGACAAAGACCTGAAAGAGATCCAGGTAGACACCACCGTGTTTTACCCTCCTCTAGTTTCTGGCCTATGCACCTGGCTATTAGTGTACATAACCACTCGCTCTGTCACACTGCAAACCAAGGACTCGCACAGGTATTGGGTCTGTTCCCTGTGCTTTCTCTCCCCACATATTTCCTCCCTGCTCAGCGCTGCCACTGCTGCTGCTCCTGGGCAGCCTGTAAGGCTGGATGCAGGTTTGAATGGTTCCTCATTTACCGTATTTTATGGAGGATGCTGTGTCCCACCAGACATCTTGGGCTTGCTGAATTTGGTTCTTCATGCTCTGAGCTCCCAGCCATGTTACATTTGGGCTGCCTGGGATTAAACTTCACTGTGTTCTTTGCAACTGTTGGCTCTGTTCTGTGTGTACCCTGGATTCTAATTTTCCGGCTGTGAGCAAGCTTCCCTTTAGGTCTCTAAGACAGCATCTCAAGAAGGCCTCACTGGGGGAAATGTGGAGCTTGGTAGCTCCTGTGTGCTACCACAGGGACAAGTCCATGCACAGCACGGCCAGGCTTTGTAATAGGATCCATCCCAACCTGCAGTTCACAAGGCAGCTCTTCCAACTGAGTTTTCCCTTACAGTGCTGTCCCAGATAAAATAACTGCCAACTCCTGTTTCAGTACTTATCTGTACTCCAATTCTGCAGGCTGCCCTGGAGCTGATTTAAACCGCCCTGCCCCAAGAAGTCAGGGGATGCAGTGCCCACAGCCTGCATCCCAATTCCCAATCTCCAGAGATCCCCGTCGCCCCTGGGGAGCTGAAAGCAGCAGGGCCAACTGTTCATCTTGCCAAAAGGCTTCATGAGGAACAGACCCGGCCTGCTGCCTGCCATGTTTTCCTCCGGCTCTCAGATGAAAAAGGGTGAAATCATATCGCCATTTCAATTTGTTGAGGGTTGTTTCTTAGTAAAAAGCACTTTTGTTTCTGAAGCCAATGAACTTGGCCTGTAACTGAAGCTGCCTTCCAGGCAGGAGAGCATGGCTTGCTCCCAGTCTCTAACTTTGCCTTCTTTTTCTTTACTGTTTGTAACAATCCTCTTCCCAGCACCATCTCAAGAAGCTGGAAGGAAGACGCTTGGACTTTGACTACAAGAAGAAAAGACAGGGTAAAATCCCTGATGAGGAGCTTCGACAGGCCATGGAGAAATTTGAAGAGTCCAAGGAAGTAGCAGAGACCAGTATGCACAACCTCCTAGAAACTGATGTGAGTGCACGGGGGGAGCACCAGCTCCTCTGCCTCAGACTGGGAGCTGCGGGTGGGTTGTGTGTTTCTGTGCACACGAGCGTGGAATCTCTTGAGGGGACACGGAATTTAGGCGCTAATTTCCACTCTTGTTCTTGCAAGTGTGGTTTTGCTCTCTGAAAACCCAGCCCGTGTGGCTTGGTGGGCTCCTTATCCTTTCTGTAGCCCCTCTTCCTGATCCAGCCCTTGGCCAGAGGAGAGGCTGTGTGTGTCCTGTACCAAAACAGGTCTCTTCTCAGTGTGCTGGTGGGAGTAAGTTTGGGCAGGTGATGCAGCTCACTTGGGAAGGGTTTGACCAGCAAGCAAAGCCCAGAGCGTGGCAGGAGGTGTCCTCTCTCCCTTGGTCAGTGCTTGAAATCATAGAATCATAGAATGTTTTGAGTTGGAAGGGACCTTTAAAGTTCATCCAGTCCAACCCTCCTGCAGTGAGCAGGACCACTGTTAGTAGATCCGGTTGCTCAGAGCCCCATCAAGCCTGACCTTGAATGTCTTCAGGGAGCGGGCCTCCACCACCTCTGGGCAACCTGTTCCAGTGATCTACCACCCTCACAGTGAAAAACTTCTTCCTAATATCCAACCTAAATCTACCCTTTTCTAGTTTAAAACCATTACCCCTCGTCCTATCGCTACATGCCCTAGTGAACAGCTCTTCCCCAGCTTTCTTATAGACACCTTTCAGGTACTGGAAGTTCGCTGTAAGGTCCCCTCAGAGCCTTCTCTTCTCCAGGCTGAACAACCCCAACTCTCTTAACCTGTCTTCATAGGGGAGGGGCTCCAGCCCTTGATCATCTTTTTGGCCCTCCTCTGGACCCGCTCCAGCACTTCCATGTCGTTTTTGTGCTGGGGACTCCAAAGCTCAGGAGGTGAGGTCTCACCAGAGCAGAGCAGAGGGGCAGAATCACCTCCCTCGATCTGCTGGCCACACTTCTTTTGATGCAGCCCAGGGTGCGGTTGGCCTTCTGGGCTGCAGATGCACATTGGTGGCTCCTAAAGCTTCTCAATCCCCTGGGGAAATTGTTCTTCGTACATGATCCTCAGTATGGTCCTTATGTACAAGGGAGCCTCCTGTCAGCTGGGTCACACCATTCATCCCTCCTTGGTGTGGTTCTTGCAGATCGAGCAGGTGAGCCAGCTCTCAGCCTTGGTGGACGCCCAGCTGGACTACCACAGGCAGGCGGTGCAGATCCTGGACGAGCTCGCGGAGAAACTCAAGCGCCGGTGAGTCCTGGGGTGCTGCAGACACTCTCAGTTTTTCACAGCCACAAGCTCTCCCTGTGATACTTGTCTGTAAATACCTGACATTTATAAATATCTCCCTCTAAATCTATCTCTTGACATTAGAGCTTCAGTCCAGACCACCAGGTCAGAGGGAGCAATGCCAGCAGCACAGCCTGCTTTCAGTGGTGGGCAGTTGGTCTCTCCTGGGCTGAGCCCTTCCCAAATTGGGGTGTGCTGCTCCTCGGGAGGCTGGAGTTGAATTTGGCAGGAGTGGAGAAGGAGAGTGAAGTCCTTTGTGCTCACGGCTCCTCGCACTGCCGTTGTTGAGCGTGGGAGTGTCCCTCAAGCCTTTTGGCCAAAGCCAGGATGGAGCCAGTAGTTGCATCATGCTGTTGGAGTGGATGGCTCAGATGTCATGAGCTGGACATGTCTGTCAACCTGTGTCACCTGGGACCGCCCAGCCTAGAGACTTTGTGCCATTAGCTTCCGTTGTGGCTACGGGTACATGGACGTTGGCCATGGCTGCGGCCCAGAAAGGTTCATGTCAATGGCTCCTGGTTACTCTGAAGACCAGAAAGTGAACACAATGTGATAGGGATGATGTGGTGGCCACAGGCCAGTGGAAAAGCACTTTTGTTACCTCCTTAAGGTCAGGCATCTGTGAGATCTCTCTCTGGGGGATCTGTGGACCCTCATTTTCCAGCAAGCCCTATTCAATATCTTTGCGGTGGTAGGGTAGACCCTGCCACCGATGCAGCACTGCCGTGCGTGCCCTGCAGCTCTGAGCCACGTGAGTTGGTGAAAGGTGGATGGGTGCCTGGCACGCAGGAGCAGGGATTGCCACGGAGCTGCCTGGTCTTGCTCCTCTCCCTGCCCCTCCTCAAGTGCCCGAGCTCCACAGTAGCCCCAGGGAACATGTGGTTGCTGCTGAGATGCCAAGAAACACAGAGGGGCTGTTGAAATACCAAGCAGGCTGGTTCACATGACTTACACGGTCGTTCTTCCTGCTGCTCTGTCTCACCTGAGCAAGCATCTCCCGAAACCTGGCCGAGGAGGGAGGGGTGGCTTCATTGCAGGTGGCTTCCCTGCGGAGCCAGAGCCATGCCTTCCTCATGCTCAGGATGGCTTGGATGGAGTCCAGGCACCCTCTCTGCTCCTCGGGGCGATTTGGCGATGCCGCCCTGCTCTTTCCTCTTAGAAGAAACTGCTGAGTGGCTCCTGTGCCTGGTTTGAATTCAGAATTGCTGGGAGGATCCTGCCAAGTGTGAGTGTTGGAGCTGCAGCACGAGTGTCCTCTGCTGGCCTGAGCTGCCTGGGACACCTCCACAGCCAAGCCTGGCACATGTGGCCCTCTCTAAAGGCCAGGTCCCAAACTCTGGGCAAGATCCATCTTCAAAACGCCCCAGCACAGAGAGCTGTGCAGATTCTTGTCTACAAACCAATTTGCTCCCCCGCGTAGCCACCGAGGAGAATAAATACCACATTGATCTCATCATATTCTGTTGCATACTTCAATTTATCCACGTTTCTTTTCCTTCTTCCAGAATGAGGGAGGCCTCCTCGCGTCCCAGGCGGGAATACAAGCCCAAACCCAGGGAGACGTATGATTTCGGAGATGCTGACCAATCTAACGGGGGCTTCTCTTGCAATCCTCCCCCCAAAGTCTCAGGTAAAGAGATCCAGTACACTTGTGCACACGTGGGTGCCTCTGGAGCAGCTTCCTGGGGCCAGAGGGGAGCTGCTCTGCCTGGAGGTGATGTTTTTGGTGCACTGGATGTGCCCGCATGAGCTGGTGGCCCTGGAAAATGTCAGAAACGCCTCTAGACCTGGGCTGGTTTCTCTTGGTCCCCAGCAGCCATTCTTATATTGGTTCTGGGGACATCCCAGCAGGGTCTCCAGCCCCCACCACTCGTCTGTAGCACCCGGTCAGTGGCAGACAGGGAAAATGAAGCATCTCTCGCTCCCTCCCCTGTCTTCCCTCACGCTGCATTCGCCCCTCCCTGGTCCCAGCGAGGCAGGCAGGTTTCTAACACAGCATGTGGGCCGCCCTGTTTCTCCTAACAGACCCTGCCTTTGGGCCCTGCCTTTCCCTCACTCCAGTTCCCATTGTTTAAGCATGTCTCTTTTTGTTTGGAAGCAGCTTCCTCCTCTTTCCGATCCGACAAGCCGTCCCGGGCCTCCGTCAGGAGTATCCGTGAGTTTCCTCCCTCCGCACCGCATGATGTGTGACCGCCTCTCCCCATCCCTCCTCGCTCCTCCTCCTGTCACGCTGCCGCTTGGAGCCGCTAATTCCCCTGTGCTGAGCCTGGCCAGCAGAACAGCTGAGCTAAGCCTGGAGCTAAGCCCCAAATTAAACCAGCCACGCTATGGGGGGTATTTACCACCCAAAAATGGGGTCTTTGCTCAGCCAGAGGAGTTGTAGCAGCCCTCATCATGCAGGCATGTCTGCAGGGATGCTTTTCCATGAGATATCGGACATCTCGAGGATTGCCCTGTTATTGCGAGCACTCAGCCTGGAACTCTCCCGCTCCAGCTCGTACTGCCCCCACGTACCCCACTGCTGCAGGCTGGGGGGAGCGGGTAGAGCCTCAGCACGCTGAGCGGGTTTTGGGGTCCTGGCTGGGCAGCGAGGAGCCTCAAATGGGTTGTGGGGCCTGTGGGTCCCTGCTGAAGGGACATGGGGGCGGGTCCTCATTGAGGTCCCAAGGCCAGGCTGTGGCTAAGAGCTGAGGGGGAAGCTGGTGGTGGTGCGAGGGGGCAGGAGGGCTTGAGGAGCCTGGTGATGGGGAAGTGCTGCAATGCTGGGACCAGCCTGGTATTTTGGGAAGTCTCAAAAAAACCTGCTTGGCTGCCGCTTTTGGTGTTTTCTGGGATCTCTTCTAGTGCTCAGTTGGTTCTCACGGTGGGTGTTCAGCAGACCAGAGCTGCAGCTGTGCCGTTCACCATGGTTGGAAGAGCTCTGGCACAGAGCCGCAGGGCAACAGGGTGGGGGACAGGGGCCCTGCAGACCCTGGGGGTCTGTATCAGCTCAGTCCCTTTTTTTTTGGTAGGATCCCTACAGCTGCAAAGCCAAGTGCCAGCCCATCCCAAAACCTCAGTGCAAAGACAGAGCAAGCAGCAGCTTTCCCTGCTACAGAGAATCCCCTTTGCTGTCCAAAATTATGCTGAAATCATAGAGTTGAGATGGGGAGAGACTTTGATTTTCTCCCTATTTTTGCAGGAGGAGCTTCTCATGCATCACCAAGCTACTGATTGATTTAAAGCCCTTTTTAAAGCCATAGCCCTCAGAATTGGGGTGACCCCTCTAAAGCTCCAGCACTTTCTGGGGTCTTCCTCCACCATGTCCTGGTGTCTGACCCATCACCCATGAGCTGCACGGCCGCTTCTCTCATCTCTAGAAGAATAATGCAGCTTTCACCACCTGATTTCCAGCGTGGGGATCTCATTTAGGTTGGGGTTTAGCTTAGAGCCAGGGGAGTCCAGGCAGGAACAGGCAGCATGGGGGGCTAGAGTCTGCTATGGGAGGAGAAAATGGAGGAAGAGGGCAGAGAAAGCAGCGAGAAGTTTGAACTGAGTTAATGCTTTACCGCCGTGGGGCAGATGAAGGGACAGCTTCTGCTGAGCAGAGGAGAGCTGATGATCCCGTGCCCTGTCCAGATCCGGCACCAGCAGAGCCGGGGGCTCAGGGAAGGGGAGTGCAGGGGGTCCAGCTTACCTCTTCCCCCCCCAACCTCTCCCCGCAGCCCCCCTGGACCAGCCCTGCTGCAAGGCTCTCTACGACTTCGAACCCGAAAACGACGGCGAGCTGGGCTTCAAGGAAGGCGACATCATCACCCTGACCAACCAGATCGACGAAAACTGGTACGAGGGCATGATCAACGGCCAGTCGGGCTTCTTCCCCCTCAAATACG